TGAAGTAAAATAATGGTGACTTACCAAAGACGCAAGCAACAAGTGACGCCAGGGCAAGACGCCGCATCCTGATGACAGGCTCGGTTACTAACTTAAAAACGATAAAATTTATTCCGGTTTGTTTTCCTACTGGGTTTGAATCCAACGTATAAAATGTTTCAAAATGTAGATATTTCACCACCAGACAACACGTTTTGCCGGGTACATTCAACGCACTAATCATAGGACTAACGAGTGCAGTTCAGCATAACGCCCGGGCTGGAGCTCAGGCAGGCTCATTGATGCACGGTCATTGGCTAATAAGATTAATATTAACGCTAATGCATATTCATGGCACATGCACAGGAGCCTTGCGATGAGGGAGACCTTTGGGAAGACTAGGCTGGTTCCCGCTTGCGTAATATGGCGACCTGTAGCTAGTTCCCATTTAACTGTGACGTTGTTCGATGAGGAGGCGCTGGCTGGGGGTGACGACGGTGTGCTGGATGAAGGAAGCGTTGTTGCGGAGATGCTGTTTGGTCATTAGGGATTGGGTGTGTTTGATATCTCTTTTGGAAACTGGACTAGCATAATCTCTTTTATTTTTTCCATTTTCCCTTAGACCAAGACATCGCGGTGTGCTTGGTTTGCGAGACGTGAAAGTTTCTGGTGTTAAAGACTGGATTCTCGATGGAAGGCACTGGTAAGCAGGTGTTGGGTGCTCTATTTAAGACCACTTGGAGTCTGGGTGCTGTTAATTCAAGGCGATGGTAATTATCAGAACTCAGACTCCAAGCGCTCTTAAACAGAGTGATTAATACCGACCAAGCACACATTTATTCCCATTCATAAATACCTTTTCGCTCAAAAAAAAATCTAAAATGTTCGCTCAAAAAAACCCGATTTTGTTTAGCAAGTTCACTTCATGTTTTGTAAAACACCCCTCTAGCTAAATAATTGAGTGTCCAGATCGCGAGTAAGATGTCAACAACTCCCTTTAAGGAGGTTGTCGCGCGTACTGCGTGATGTCGCGCAGAATGCACATAAGGTGTTCCCATGCATCCCCTGGATATATTTTTCTAACCTACTTTTTTGTAATCCTTATGGTGTCTAATGAATGAATTTTGATGTTCCCAAGATCAAATATCGTCCCATGGGCTTCATTTGGCGGCAATCTTGGCAGCCACCTTGGCTCTCGACAAAAAAAGTCGATTATTGACATAAGATTTGAGCCAGGCATCATAGGAAGACATTCTTTACCTCGGGTTTCAGCTGCTGCCTTTCAGAACGCCATAGGAATGGTATAAAGGCTAGTAGAGTAAACAGAAAACTATCAGGAGTGGAGCCTCTAAGGCGGTTGGTGGTAATACAAACCATTCCCTCGTAGCTAGCAAAGCGAAGTTCATACCAAAAAAGCCTCACCACCCCAAGACTATGGGTCACCTACCGCGAATTGTCACCTTCTGCATCAACAACCCAGCGAGGACTCAGCAGTTTGACAATCTAAGAGAGGCTCTGGCATAACCTACAGGCGGTGATGACAAAGTGGAATCCAAGTGTTCCAACCTTCGTGATGATCTACAATCTTACCACTTCTTCCTACGGAAAAAGAGAACGTAGGAATGCTGACTGGTACGAGCTGGGAGGAAAAGAAACAGTGACAAAAGCCAAGAAAAGAGCTCTCCTTGCCCACAAGAAGGATCCCAGTCCCAGCACAAAACATATGCTCCAAGGCCAGGGCCGCAAGAGACCAGTGATGCAAGAAGGCTGTATGAGGGCATCAAGAAGGCAATATGACTGAATATCTCGATAACGACACTGGTGCAGTCCAAGACAGGAGAAGTTACCACCGATCCAGCTGATGCAAGATGCAAGTGTACCAGTCCTGTGTCCTCGTACACTCTTTGAACGGTTGTGAAGCCTGGACAACCCATGCTGGTCAGGAGAAGAGACTAAAGAGGTTCCAACTCCGATGCCTCAGACGTACCCTCTGCATAAGCTGGCAGGATCGAGTGACAAACATGAAGGTTTTAGAGCGAGCTGGTATCCCGAGCATATTTGCTCTTCTCAGCATGAGACGTCTTAGATGGCATGGGCCATGTCAAGAGGATGGACTTGGGTCGGCTCCTGAAAGGATCTCCTTCATGGAGAACTTGCTGAATATACCATATTATTATATCATTACGTAGTGACGCCATCATAGTAGTAATATTCCAGTGGACAATTATAATAGACTAAAATGTCTGTAATTGTAACGGGTACACATTACGAGGTATGAGTACACAAAGCAAAAGTGAAGAGAAAATTGTTCTCATTTTCGAGCGACACGACAAGCTAGAGAAATGATAATCAATGACATTTCACCGTCATACTTGAACGTCTAGTCGTCATCTTCACGAAACTCATCATAATCAATTTGTTGACGCTCTTCAACTATTGTTCCTCCGCCTTCTCAACAGTTTTCTGCAGCAAGTCAATGAGTGATGGAGAATGATAGGTCCTCATCACCACACTGGCATTATCCAACACCACACTGAAACTATGCTATGATTGTTGGTTCATTATATCACCATTCCAGCTAATACTACAAGATTAAGGCTACATCTTAATTTGACTTCCTATGGTGCCTAGCTCAAAGGCCATGTAAAATAACAAATTTTCGAAATGTAAGATCACGATGGCCGCCAAATCATGAAATCATGCTTTCGATCGATTCCGCTCGCCCAAATTACCCCTAAAAACATGTAAATTGTTCTCCCCATGATGCCTTGTGCAAAGTTACTTCATGTATTAATCTAGGTCCTTCATATGCCAGTTTTTCCCCTTAGCATGTATCTTTTGCGTGATTAGTTTGTTCTTAAGTTTTAATGCTAATGTGCCTGTATATTCATTATTTTATTATTAATAATTTTAGTGTAACAATATGTAATTTTTAAAGGTTTTTCATATTCGTAATTAAGTTTTGGATTTTTTTGTTTGGTTTTTGTTAATGATTGTAAAGCGCCTTGAACGTCAATTTGAAGGATTTGGCGCTATATTAGAATATAATTATTAATATTATTATGTACACCTGATTTTTGTCGAAATCCAAGATGGCCGCAAAAATGGCCGCCATATTATAAACGTAACACTTTCAATTGATTCCTCACACCCAAATCAACCTCAAAAACGTGTTCATTTGTCTTCCTGTGATGCCTGGGTCAAAAGTTAGGTCAATAATAGACATTCGTCGAAATCCAACAAGGCCGCCAAGATGGCCGCCAAATGAACCCGATGGGACAACATTTGATCTTGGGAACATCAAAATTCATTCGCTAGTCAACTTAAGGATTACAAAAAAGTAGGTTAGAAAAATATATCCAGGGGGTCCATGGGAACCCTATCTTCCGACTAGACCAATTGGGCGTAATAAAATATGGTTCGGAAGCAAAGGAACTTTCTGGCGAATCGTATCAGTGAAGGAAAACATCTTGACAGTATGAGCGCTTTGAGCGCCCTCTAGTGAACGAAAGAGATCTACGCCTATGACGGTGTCACATGAAAATCCAACTCGTATGAAAATCGCACTTGACATGTCACTTTCCCCAAACAATCCTAAAAAAAATAGCATATTATGGTACTCACGCGTGCGCAATACTACCAATGAATCCACATTTCATGGAGTCGGATATTCACACTATAACGGCACTCCTCTAACTTGAAAACGTTACTACCCGCAACACATATGTGCATGTCACCGGTTCCATAGCCACTTCCTTACAAGGAAATGTCCACTGTTGACCACCGTGTGTACGAGTGATCGGACGTTCGATCTTATATCCACAACAACCTCAATGACTGCTGGTTTTGAACAAGGAGGTGAATGACTTATCAATTGCATTGCGTGAGTGTGTCTGAAGTACGTGGCGCAAGCGCAACAGTTCAGGTATTTTGATTTTTTTCATAAATTATCACTGGTTGACCACATGACTGACCACTTACTCACTTCCTATGAGGTTAAGGTCCATATATGTGTTTGATCAAACTTGACATTAAGTTATCTTTAATTGTGGAGGCTTGTAAATTTAAAGAAAATGACCACTAGTAACCACTATGTAACCGTTGACCCAAATCGTCACCGACACCACGATCGTAACACTCCACGTGTTAAACCATATTTTTTTCAATTATCTGGGTTTTTTTATTACACTTTTAAACATTATTCATCAAGGCCCACCATTGCACGAAGTTTCAAAGCTCCAAGGGCTTTACTTTAATAATTACGCTAATTATCCATGCACGTTTACACGAAGTAACACTCTCCTTGTATGAGAGGGCGCGCGCTGACCCGAAGTAACTTTCACCTAGTGTTATAAGCCTAATACATTGAAGCGTACTACTTTGTGAAAACAAACATTAAGAGATTCGCAGCTTTTTCGGTTCAATGAACTAACACTCTCCTTTTTTCTCTTCTTTCTTGTTGATTTAATAAACAAACGGGTGAAAACTGCAGATTAAATAAATTCAATACATCAAGTGTCCTCAACGAGAAACCAAACTGAAAATACTCTGCAGTTTCGACGCAAAGTGTTGTCCTAGAAGGCATTCAACTTTAGATGCCGTTTTACCGATTGCTAGTTTTCACTGGTATGTAGACGGGTGTTACTTCGTGGTGTCGGTGACGCAATGCTTTCCAGCATCTCGGGTAGGAGTTCGGTCGAGAAAGATCCTTTCCAAATTTGGCTGCAATCGGCAAATGCATTTGGCAGATAGCATTTTAAAGGCTCATTAGGAGAAAGAAAGGTCAGGTTTGGTCGGGTCGGGTCAGGTCTGGCTTATTAAAGGCTAAATCACAAGAGACAGTCAGTCCGGTCCAGTCGGTCGGTCGGTCAGTGCGTGCCTTTGTGCTAGATAAGTGCACTGTCACTAGTCTGGCCCTCTGAAACCAGCACAAATGTAGTCTTGAAATATACACGAAAGGCCGTGAGATACTTTAGGAGATCACTAACAGTAATAAATGATATCTAGAGACAACACAACACTGCAGGTGCACGCTTACACTCTATCTTAAGTGCTTTTATTAAATGAGAAAAGATATGCCGAACTTTCTCTATCATGTCTCCTACTCCATATATATTTAATTTAATGGGCTTGAAGGTAATGGCCACAATTTGCAGAAGAAAATGTTTTTTTTTCCGATTCAAGAAACAGTAATACAATAAGTCTGAGGCAGGTTGTTTATAAAAAAAAAAACTTTGAAATTATGCGCAGTGGATGTAATGCTTTTGAGAAAATTGTGACAATGCATCTTCAATTTCTCATGCACAAAGCATGTTTTTGTTGACAGTTTGATGGTTTGATCCTATAGCCATCCCGAGAAAATGATGGTCAATTCCTCTTGCATGGAAAAAGACAGCATACTGGGGGCAAACGATTGCACAGGATGCTTAAACATTGTATTCACTTTACAATAAAGTGGGATATTTCATAATATTTTGATAGTTTAATGTTTGAATATTTGCAAATTGTGTCGACTACCTTTAACCTCTTCATATTTTAAAGGAAAACAAGAAAAAGAAAAAAAAAACAAAAAAAAAACAGTTTGCTGAAAAAATATAGCAAGTTTATACTGCTTTTTATTTTAAATCTATTTCCACCATGTGCTGAACAACATGTATATGCTTAACCATTGTTGAAAAGGACAATTAAGAAAGACTAATAAACTATATAATTATGCTCATTTCTATATTAAGAAAATTAATATATTAAACCAGGTTTGCTAATATAATAAAGTAAGCTATATTGGATATTTCAAAAGTATCAAGCAAGATTTATTGGAATTGTACAGTGTTGTAGAACAAAATAGTTTGCAGTTCATGAATAATATTCATTCCATTGGTTTATGAAGCGATTTTGAGTGGGTAAACTCTTTTGTATTGACTCAAATTTACCACCTTCAAATAGCGCCCTCTTATTGTGTCCGCAATACTTAAACGATAGGTTGTTACGATTGAAGTAATTATTATCGAAGTGTTACGTGCACTGTCCTCTGGGGATTTTTTTCTGGGTCCAAGAAAATCCCGACAAATGTCTGACATTTCCAGAAAAAATGTTGAAAATGCCCGTTTGTGTCAGCGATTTTTGCCTCGCCTTTAAGCATTTCTAGCAGTAAAAAAAAGCCATTTGAACTAAAAAATTAAACCGTCACTTTTCAAGGTATAGTTGTGTGCAAGTTTATATTCCACTTGTCATCAACCTTTTCATTGATTATTATTTCTTGAGAAATACGTTTTTAGATCCCAAAAGAGCGCAACCGGCCAAACGTCACCTATAGAAGTATTGTATTTTGAGTGAAAAAAAATGCGATATTCTAGCTGGTCTTGCAAACATATCCCTTTCACCATTATTCTACTACATGCAAAAATGATTTTTCATATGTAAAAACATGCCATTGTATTTATTACTGATTGTGTCCCTAAGAATCTAAAACAATCTGGGGGAAAAAAATCGAAAAAGGGAAAATTTAAGCTTCTGTTAACCACCTGTTTTTATTCAACCGATTTCTTTTGCCGGCATCAATGTAGCATGGGAAACCCCTGTCTCTAATGCTCATTGGAAATTTGACAATTCAAAATGTGGAAAAGTCTGTGTCATAAATATTGGTCTACTGTTAGACTGGTTCCGGGCCCTTCAATCGTAGCCCTCGTTTAGAGTGTAGGAGGCGGGACCAAGTCCGAACGGGGGCCTCTGGAAAAGCACATGAAGTGCAAATGCCTTTTTGGGGGCATGTTATTACATCGGATCATTTGCTTTTAGTGCATCCCCCACATTTGAGCAACAAAGTCGTTGTAACTCGTACGAATGATGCATACTTGTTGGAGTTTCAGCTCAGTGGATACTATACCTTTTGAGGGGGGAAAAACGAGAAAAGAAACAACATATTTTTGTGCCCATTTTCAATTATTGATACCCTTTCAGGCAGGGATTTTTTCTACAGTTCTTTCTTCATTTTAAGTGAGGTATTCTTGTTAAAATCGGTAGGTACACTTTTCTGGGTAACTGCAAATATTCTTACGTGCCTTTATGTTTTGACTGAAGCATTCTTAAAATGTTACACCACATGACACATGCATCCCCGCTCCAGTGTGTTACATTTCCAGCGAGCATTAGAGCTAGGTGTTCCCGCGCTGGCATCGATGGAATTACTCATGACTGTTGCAGCCGAGGACCTCGAAGCGCATACTGCTATGTGTATTGTGCTGAGTAGGCAGGATACGCAGGAACCTGGCCTGGAAGGCCTTCGGGAAAGTGGTGGTCACGTGGGTGTTTTTGTCCGAGTTTCCAGGGAACTGTGAGGAACAAACAATATGGAAACGAATTTTCGAGTTTTCCCCATGCATTTACAGCAGCAGGGGCGTACATCCGGGGGAGGGGTTATATTGAACAGTGGGGATGTGGGATATTGGAACCCCCCCCCCCCTCCACTTATCGTGGCAAGAAACAAAAAAGTTGGATTTTAAAATATTTTTCCAACTTTCTAACAACCAAACTGCATTCAATAGTACTGAAGAAGGTAGAAAAAGTACGGAAACTTTGAATACTGACGCTGTCTTGATGTAAAACTAAGCGCTGTAAGTATACATAACGTGCACATCTGTATCATGAACAGCGCCCCCTAGTGTCATGTTGAGTCCAGCAAGCCCCCTTTTCTTTTTTGTATCGGGGCATGTTTTATTTTTTTATTTTTTTTTTTAATCATCCCCTATCCACTCCCCGGCACAGATTCACGCCACTGTGCAGCAGGATCGCCAGAGGGAGCCCTCGTCCTACGGCGTTCATCTCATGAGCGGGGCTTTGTACAATAAGCCCAATAATTAAGGAATGTCTTACCACTAGAACACCAAGTTTGCCTGGGTCTGTGGTTGGTTTGAATCAACGGCAGATGCAGGAGGAACGGGGGCCATGCCCCCCCCAAAAAAAAAAAAACCCAAAAATTATACTTTTGTTTTGGTAACGTCTAAAAAAAAAAACAGCCACTGTACATCACCCACAAAAATAATAAATTAAATTGACAAGGTTTTCACGAAATAGATAAGAATTTCCAACGTATGTCGCAAATGGTGGAGTTTAAGGAAATTAATTCTGGTTACAATAAGAGCATTTCGAAACTGTACTTTTAAACTCAAACAATTTAGTACACGAGAACAAGAAAATGTCTCCACAAGGATACACATTTCAATATGTATGGATAACACTGAGGTTACAGTGTTATGCATCGGTGAAAGGCCATTTGAACAATGCGATCGGTATACCTTCATCGGTGCACTTGATCCATCATCGGTGACGTTGGTCCAATCTTGGCCATCGTCGCTGTAGGCCACTTTGAACTCTGTCACCCATTGGGGCCAGTTCCCATCCCCGCGCCCCTGCGTGATAACGCCAGTGATGATCACATTAGAACCCATGTCGACCTGGATCCATGGATCGGGATCACTAGCTTCATCATTACACCAGGCTGAGGCCATACCGGCTGCAGAGTAAGCAGATAATCAAACAAGCTGAGCAGAACATTCGGCTGTGCAAATGTACGTGCTAAGCTGAGAACCTTCGATAAGCACTACATGAGGCAGCGGTCACTTGCAAAGTAAGCGGATAGTGAGAAAGCAGTCCTAATGATGCCTAACGACGTCATGCTTAAGTTTTTTTTACATGTGCGCTTTCCTATGAGAGCCAGGTGGGACCAGGCCCGGATTAAGCGTTTCGTAGGTCTAATAGACATCAGTGTTCCGTAGGTCCTACTTAGCCCTAGGTATCGGCACCAAATTCCTGTTAATGCTATTAAAGAACAAAGCACCATACAAAGTATACATCAAGCCAGGCCAAACTGATATAGGTCCCTGCTCTAAAAGTTTGTTGGCACTAAGGGCGTCAATCGCTTCTTAGAAGTGGGAGGGGTGGTACATACATTTTACATGTGTATCTTGATCAGACTAATGCGACTGCGACGCCTAAACGGCGTGGGGTTTCGGGGCCCGCTAAATTGAAGAGCCCCGAAAAAAATCGATTGTAGACGTCCTGTGGTGCGATCTGAGGCAATTTCTGACTACTGCCAAGGTTTTAGCAAAAGATCATCATTTAAACGGGATTTTCGAGTTTGGGGTCCTTGAATCAGCGGACGAAAATAGTTTGGGGACGACATGTTCCCCGGACCCCAGCGATCGACGCCCATGGTTGGCACCGTGCTTCAGAACGACAGACTTGCACGTAAATTGTTTACGTAGGGCATAAAAAGTATGCCTACATGCTGTACAGAGTCAGTTGGAGAAATCGAAAATTCTAAGACAAATCCTATGATATTTTTAAAACTTTTCTCTGCGTGGGTGTGGGTGTGTGTGTCTGGGTGTGTGTGTGTGTGCATGGGTGGCCCATATGTGTTTTGTGGCACACTACGGTATTTTCGTAGGCCCCCCATTTATAGTTAGTCTGAGTATCACCCGTTTTCCACGGAGCCAAGTCTCGTGTATAACGTCTGATAATCGTAAACATGCAGATATATGCAAGCCGCCCACAAGCCAATCGGAGTCGACTTTACTAAATCGTGACGTACTGACGTTATTTCATTCCCAACTCAGGACTAATGGTTTGATTGGTCAATTCGAATGCAGTGTTTCGTAATACAACAGCAGCCTGGCGCATATTGCGTAAATGTATAGAGCGCGTGACACTTTTTTTTTTATCCATGTCTATGACGCGCAAAGGGTGAATGATCGAAGACCCGATGTAGAAAGCGCCCGCTGATTTGTCAAAATGTAAGAGGTCAAGAGGCGGTACATTGCATAATTAATCATCGAATCTGTTCATATCTAATCTATTACATAGACTAATTTCTAGTGGACCCCGAATTTTTTGAAGGCCCTAGGCACAGTGTGCCCATTAGGTAATCCGGGCCTTGCTGGGACGTGCACGTCATTAGGTCTTAGGTCTATTGCATGGCCAACTTTATTTTTGCTAATCAAAATCGGCAGGGAAATATTCATAAGCAATACACAGACTTTTTGCTGGTATAACCTGTCCATCTTTATATCATGTGCTTTATGTGTTGTGCTTAGTACCTCAACACGTATGTTCATGCCCATGCACATGTACTTGTGAACCACTTAGTAAGTCTGGTTATTAGACCAGATGATTCTGACAATTCTGGAATCTTGCAGACGTTCTATGGCACCATTTATAAGGCACCCTTTATATATCTTAGCTCGTATGATGAGCTGAGGTTGTCAAAATTTTAAAACCATTTTTGAAAAAAAATAACCTCTTTCAAAAAAAAATATTCAAAACCCTTGTAAATCAACCAAATTTTAGAACTATTTTTCCAGTTTCCCTGAACAATAGATAAACATGATGATATCATTTTCGAGTTATTGTGAATACGATAATTCAAGACAAAAAAAACGACGTTTTAGTGTCAGTGCAACAACGAATATACGCCCCAACGGACGTATACCTGACTATGTTTGAATGAGCGACATGTGAAACCTGTGAAAGTTTTTCACTTCAAAATGTGTATATATGTATATTAAGCAACACAGATTTCAATTTGAAGCACCAACCCTCAGAGGACAGTCTTAAACTCCTGGCATTTGTTGTCACCTTTGACGAATTGTTCTTTTGAATTGACTCATTGTTTATATCGTGTAATTGTTGAACGGAAGCAACATTACCTTGAAGGTTAAGTCGAGCCCTGGTGGGTCCGTGATCGGCACGGTTGCTCCACATTGAGGACGCTGTGATGTTTGCATCTGGGATGCGACCATCTTCCATGCCAAAGGGTCCCACCTCAGTGCACTCCAAGACGTCTGTCGGAGCTAGTGGAAAAAATCGATCAGAGTGGGGCGGGTCTCATTTAAATAAAGCAATTGCAATCATGTTTTAATGAACATAGCAGCCAGGCGCAGATTCAGCCTTCTCCTGATCAAGAGTGGAGAACATTTCGAGGGAAATTTTGGGGTAAAACGATGATGACGACGACAAAACGCAACACGAAAATAAAGAAAGCGATCACTGTGATGTACCGGGAACGTCACAGTGATCAAATGTGGAGAACTTTTTTTGGGGGGGGAGCCAAATAACCCTTGGTCCCCAAAAAAGTGAGTCCAAAATATTACGGTGTGGGGCATTGACCCCCATACCCCCCTCCCCCCCCCATCCGCCCTTGCTCATGATCGTTGAAATGTGTTATGAAACTGAGCATGATTTGGATTTGCACATTGACGCTCATGCTCAATCAGAAGAAGTATTTCACCTAGTGATCATGTTTCACCCACCTGTCCGTAAATGAATGCAAATTAGAATGTGTTCTTTTACGTTCTTAAACTTTCTTTTGTTTCGGTTCCCCTCGTTGGAAATGTTGACGTTTTGCGCGAACGCTACAGGTTAACTTTTTATGAGCTTGATGTTATAGTGGGTCAGATTTGGAAAATATTTGGGGGAAGTGTGCCTTTGACGATACAAACATGGAATTTGGCACACAGTCAAAGTTTGTCATGAGAAAGGTATTTGTGTATAGGGCCATCGCAGGTTTGTCGTTTGAAAAAAATGTAGGTCGAATAACAAGCAATTTTCAAACTTTTCAAAAGGGCTGCTATTTCATGTTATTCTACAAACATCACATTACATTACAAATCTGCGATGGCCCTATAGCCCAATATCTCTCACATGACATACTCTGATCGTGTGTCGAATTCTATGCTTGTATCATAAAAGGCAAACTCCCATCACCTTTCTGCCGTACTATTAAGACGACGCGAACCATCAGTCTAAAAGCTAATCGTCGTCACGAAAAAAAGGAACTAAGTTGAAAGCTGTTTTGACAACCAAAAAAAACCCATTATCTACAAAAACGTCGCACCTACCTTTCGTACAACAAGAGACATGTGCACACGCTTTGACCACATCAAGTTGGTCTCGAAAGACGTCCAGTTGGCTATACAACGGACGCAGAGCTGCTTCGAGAACCGAGTCGCAGTCACCGTTGTCGTGTGCGGCTGCAGCAAACAGGCAGCACTGGGCCAGCACGGCGAAAATAGCTATCAGAAGGCACTTCATCTTGATCATCAGAGACAAACAATGTTCTGGAATCAATTCCAGTATCGCATTTATATAGGGTTTTATACAGCGCCTGAATAAATGCCCGAAATCAGAATGGTGGCTCATTGATCACGTGTCATTGAATTATTCTCCCAAATGCCGGGCACAGCCGCATCACAAAATAGAAAGTCTATCACACGGTAAATAGAAGTTCAATTGCACGGTCACACTATTGGTAGTTGTGACCAATGAGATGACGAGGATTTATTCAGTTGTAGAAAACAAATCATGAATGGCTCACATTCATTCGGTGACATAAATTATTCTCACCACTGCACTCATAAACGTTCATTCTTCAGTATAACAACTAAACTTAGAACCCATGACGCCATGATGCGCACTAAAGGCGTTCCTCGTTAAAGTGGAACCGTCACGTATATGGGTCAGTCAGATTCCTTTAATGTCCAAGGCTCACTCTATCGTGTTTTTCCCCAAACAAGGTCGTCCAAAAGTTGTAGTAAGCTGTATTGTGGACACATTTTCGCCGAAATAACAGCTCTTGTTTTCGTAGTTTGTTTTGTGCTTTCCGCATTGTTACGAAAAGCCTTTGTTTTTGTTCTGATATCTTTTAGGTTTTTCGGCAAGTCACCTGAAACAGGTCACCTGCAAACAATTCTCCTATAGGGATGCATGTTCATTGTTTTCGTTTTGCTAAAAGAATACTTACCTTTTTTTTAAGTGATTCGTAGACTGAACTTTAAATCGGTATTTGTGTTCAAAATTCCTTGAAAAGCACATGAGTGATTTGAATGATTATTGTACCAAAAGAAAGCTCATTCATTTGGCTTTCATATCCGAGATTTTTAAAGTGCTACAGGCAAAACTTTATCACAAATCACAAACCCTGTCTGATAGGGTTGAAAATGACGTTATAGCTGTAAGACTGTGTGCACCATGCATCCTTTTCTACTGAAATCGTACATGAAGGAGAGTAGGGAGCTGGGCAGGTACTATTCCAAATCCGTTCCAAGTTACGTTGATCAAAATAATATAGCGATCGATGAACAAGAAAATTATACTCGTCGAGACTATATTCAAGCCATAAGGGCTGAAGAGAGTAAATTTAAAAACTTGAGGAAAAAGACACTACATGAGCTCAAACAGATTGTAGACGAACACAATCTAGAATACGTACCGACGGGTTATAATGGTCGATTTTTGATAAAAGATTTATTTTCAGCGATCAAGAGATTTAAATCTCCCGAAAATTTTCAAGAGGCTGACTTCAGAGGTACGAGAAGGTTTAGAAATAAATTTCAAAACTGGGAACTGATTCCGAGACAGTTTAATAATGACGTTGAACTGGGTTTTTTTCGCACTCACGAGCGACAGATCGAAAGCAAAGTCGTATCAGAACTGAGAGAACTCACTAACATAAAGGTTCAGATTGCGATTACAGTGAGATACGTTAAAAATGTACCTGATGGCGAACGGGTGACTGCTGAATTCACCTTCATCAGTAACAATGTGGTTATTTTGAGGGAGAGTCAGGTAAAGCAAATTCTTAAAGAAGCGATCGATCAAGTAAAAGAAAAACACGCGAGTCATACAAATCGAGGATCAGGTTGGGTAGTCGATAAAATACTCGCGTTTTACATTAACGTAAACCGTTATGCTCAAGCAGGAGGTAGTTCTTACATAGAGCTACCCGACGATCTCAAAAATAAAAAGGCGATTATCAACGTACAAAACAAAGACAACGAATGTTTGAGATGGTGTTTGAGAGCCGCTCTTGGTAAATATTCGGACAAAGTAAAAAAGCGAATCGAAAACAACCCAAAATATCAGGTCCATGAAGAGAGAACTACGATATACAACACGAACGATGGATTGAAATTCGAAAATATAGACTTTCCCACACCAGTGGATCAAATGTCTAGGGTAGAAAGACAAAATAATCTGTCAATAAACGTTTTTGGTTATACTGAACAAGATAACATACATGTATTGACATTATCTAAAAACACAGATCCTACCGTTGAGGCTATCGATCTGTTGTTGTTTTCCCACGGTGATAAGAGTCACTACTGTTGGATAAAACAATTTTCTAGATTATTTTATACCGTAACGGCAGATCGACACAAGAAATATTTCTGTCAAAGATGTCTGTCACACTACGGAACGCAAGAAAAACTAGACAGATACAAACAAGATTGTGAGGGAATAGACAAACCTCCATCTAAAATCGTTTTTCCCGAGAACAACGTATTAAAATTTAAAAAAATTTAAAAACCACAGATTTGCACAGGACGCACTATTTGTCATTCACGCCGACTTTGAATCGGTACTAGAAAAAACTCAGCGCAATAAAAAGGAAAACACGCAAAAGATAAACATTCACAAAGCAAGCGGTTATTCGTTGGTAGTCGTTAGATGCGATGGTGAAAATATGTATGGAGAAACTTACAGGGGCAAAGACGCCACAACTAAGTTTGTAGAGCAGATGTTACAATTACAACGTGATATTAATTGCATATTTGCCAAACCCATACCCATGGAATTTACTGAGCGAGATAAAAAACATCTTGAAGAAACAAACACGTGTTGGATTTGTGAAAAACCAATTTATCCCAATTACTCGAGCAACTGTCAGTACCAGAAACCCCAAAAAACCAAAACAGAAAAACAAATAAAAGAACATCAGTACGAAAACAAAAATGGATTTATCGAGTCTAAATGTCTCGAATGCAAAAAGAAAATCAACAAATTTAGAAAGGTGAGAGATCACTGCCACGTCACGGGTAGATATAGAGGTGCCGCGCACGCCTACTGTAACACCAAGCTACGTGTTAAACCTGGTTTTACTACGATACCGGTCACATTACACAATTTACAAAATTACGACGCACATTTGATCATGCAAGGCATTTCTGTTTGTAATTAAGGTAAAATAAATTGTATCCCTAGAAATTCGGAAAAGTATATTTCGTTTTCAATCGGAAATCTCCGATTTATAGACTCGTTCAATTTTATGGCGTCATCGCTTGACAACTTAGTCAAAGCTTGTCCAAAAGAGTCGTTTACTTTAATGAGAAAACATTTTAAAAATTTGCCAGAGAGTTTAGACCTTTTACTACAAAAAGGAGTTTACCCTTACGAGTATATGGAATCGTTTGATAAATTTGAAGAGACCAGTCTACCACCAATCGAAAAGTTTTTACAGCAGTCTAAAAGACGAAGGGATATCGCGAGAAGACTATGACAGAGCTCGACGAGTGTGGAAAGAGTTTAGGGTAAAAAACTTAGGCGAATATCACGACCTGTACGTGACTACCGACACGTTATTACTAGCCGGCGTGTTTGAGAATTTTAGACGCGTGTGTAAAAAGAATTATAAGTTAGATCCGGCTAATTATTTCACCGCACTCGGGTTATCGTGGGATGCACTGTTACAACACTCTCAGATAGAACTCGAACTATTGCAAGACGTAGACAAACATTTATTTTTTGAGAGAGCGAAACGAGGAGGTATGTCGAGCGTCGGTAGCACGAGATATCACAAAACAAACAATAAATATCTGCCCGACCACGATCCGGATAAACCAACGAGTTACGTGACGTATCTAGACGCTAATAACCTATATGGTTGGGCTATGAGCCAGTACTTGCCGTACAAAGATTTTAAGTGGTTAAAGCCTAAGGAATTTAATACCGAGTATATCATGTCGATTGATAAAACGTCAGATACGGGCTATTTCTTAGAGGTAGACCTCGATTACCCAGCCGCTCTTCACGATTGGCACAAAGATTACCCACTAGAAAACATAATCATATCACAAGAATGGATGTCTGATTATCAAAACGAGTTATTGGATACCGAGCCTAGTAGCAAAGTACCCAAATTAACCGGCACGCTAAAACCCAAACGCAAGTACGTTTTGCACTATATCACTTTACAGCTTTATATCGAGCTCGGATTAAAACTCAAAAAAGTACATCGCGTCTTGGGGTTTAAACAGAAGCCTTGGATGAAGTCGTACATTGATAAAAACACTCAACTCAGAACTAAAGCGACTTTTAACTTTGAAAAAGATTTTTTTTAACTCATGAATAATAGCGTTTTTGGAAAAACGATGGAAGACGTTAGAAATAGAATGGACGCAAAGTTACTCAGAGAGGATGAGCATAAAAGTTACAAAATGATAGTGTCTAAACCAAACAACAAACAGACATCGATCTTTAAAGAATGTGAGTTGTCATTTGTCGAAATGTACAAGACTAAAACCGTGTTAAACAAACCAATCTATTGCGGAGTGAGTATTTTAGATCTCTCAAAGACGCTGATGTACGATTTTTATTATAATCGAATGAAAGCGACGTATGGAGACCGAGTCAGATTATTGTATACTGACACGGACAGTTTACTCTTAAGCGTCTACACTGACGACGTATACAAAGATATTCAGCAAAACGGGCAACAATACGACCTTTCGAATTATCCGACGGATCATCCTTTGTACGATTCAACCAATAAGAAAGTGATCGGTAAATTTAAAGACGAGTTTGGAGGTAAAATAATCAAAGAAGTCGTTTGTATAAGGCCTAATGTACTCGATTTTAACCGCTGACATCAACCTGAAAAAAGCCAAGGGTGTCACAAAATCAGTCACCTCTAAGAAATTAAAACACCGACACTACTATGACTGCATCTTAAACATGAAATCTCACTACGAAACAATGACTCACATTAGATCGGAAAATCACATCCTTTACACCGTATCTCAAAATAAACTATCGTTGAGTCCGTTGGACACAAAGAGGTACATTTTACCGGACGGTATAAACACGCTGGCTTTTGGTCACTACGGCGGTAATTGCGTGTCCTCGGGTACGACTTAAAGCTCTTGTCTCACAAAACTCCTTTTTGGGCCGTTTTGAAGGTAATAAAGAGTAGGACCCGTCGTGACTTTTTTACCGTTAATCATTTTAAATTGACTCGTTCTTTTTTCCACGTTGAAGATGTCTACGCTCCAAATGCCTTGGC